GTGGGAGTCCAGCAACATAGCCATTATGCTAACTGCTGGCCCCCAATTTTGTACTTTTTTAATAATTAACTTTAATCCAGAGTTGGGCTAATGAATATTTAATATGATCATCTTTCACTTAATGGTAGTAGCATCTCGTTCCAATAAAATTAATACTATGACAGTTATCCAACAGATAAAAAGCAATCCTGTTCAATGAAGTCACTATAGTTCATTCAGTTTCGAAGAGACACAGTGGATAATAGTGTGAGTTTGTTGGTATCAGAATATGTGATGAAAAAAAAAACACAGAATGTGTAATGTTAGCTATGCTTCTCAATTTTCAACATGAATTGCTTTTCTGGTTTCCATACTGAATAGGTACCTTTAAAAAAAAAAAAACACTCATATTGGTATTGGTACACACTGGCTAAAATTTGATAATTCTTATTGCCATTTGTTTATGGTACTAAAAAAGGATAATTTAGGTCCCAGTTTTAGAAAGAATTACTTTTAAAATTCATGACAGAGTATGCACATGTGTGTGAGAGAGAGTGTGATTAGAAAGACAAGCACCCTCCATTGGACTCGGTCATGCTACGATCCCATTCCTCCAGTTCTCCAGCCTAACGGGAACCTGAGCATGCATTCGTGTGTGTCTTGACTTTTGTTTCATGAAAGAACATTTTTAGTTTTTCTTTTTATTTATACAGATAGTATAAAGGATCTCTTAGTCCATAATTAAATAAGTAAATTTGTTCCAGATCATTCTGTTTCTGTTTTAAATTACCTATGATTAATTTCTGAAATATAAATTCTAGACTATTAAAAGAAAGAAATTTTTTAATATTTAACTTTATTTGTTTATTTTAATTTGACCAGAGAGGGTCAGAGCAAGAGAGAACAAGAGCAAGAGTGAGCGAGAGAGAAAGTGAGAAAGCAAGCCACCAGATCCAGGATTTGAACTGCAGTTGGCCATGGGGGAGCCCAGCACTCTTAACCACCACGCCACCTGCCATCCCCCCAGAAAGACATTAAAAAAATAGTACAGATGTACCTCACACATTGATTTACATCAATTTTCTAAAAATTGTTGCTGCAGGACCGTGTGCTTGACAGAAAGAAACAGAGACGGTGGGAGAGAAAGTGAGAAATCCCCCTCCATGTGGGATAATCACACCACAATCCTTTCTCTTTTATTCTCCTCTTGAGATTTGGGGCACGCACACCCACACACCCAGTGTGAGTTTCAAGCTGTCAAGTCTGGGACTCAAACCACTGTTGGCCATGTGGGAGGTCCAGCACCTTAAGCACCACACCACCTGCTGGTCCCCTATTTACTTTTACGTACAGAGTCTCACTATGCCGTAATCCTTCTGCCTCAGCCATGCACGTGATCGGACTATAGGCACTCACCAACATGCCTGGCTTTTTAAGGTAGCTGGAACTCAAATCCGATCCTCCCATATGGCCTCAGCCTGCTGAGTAACAGCATCCAGCACAAATTTTTGCAGGTGGGCCTACTCTTTTTTCATTTTAACTGTTCTTTTATGATTAAAACTTTCAGGCCTAGGGCCAGCAAGTGGTGTGGTGGTTAAGGTGTTGGATACCATACGGCCAACTCATTTGGTGGCTTGAAAAGCGTACTGTGTACATACCCATGTACGTGCATGCCCAAGATCCTGGGAGGAAGATGGAGGAAAAGGGATTGAGGTATGGCCATCCCCCATGGGGGTGATTTCTCATTTTCCCTCTCACTGTCTCTGTTTCTCCCTGGAATGCATGTACCCTACAGCAAAAGTGAAACAAACAAACAAACAAAGTCAAAGAGAACCTTCAGGCCTATAGCGTGCCACAGTGGTAAAGCAGCTGGACCCACAAAGAAGGTCCCACATTCCCATCCCAGGGCCTCCCTTTATAAAGTACCAGAACGTGACCATGATCCACACTGGCTGAGACTGAGGTAGGTTATAGTGTGAAGACCCTGTTGAGGGTGCCTCTCTCTCTGTCACTCGCTCCCACAGGGAAAAAAAAAAATAATAAGTAAACTTCAAAATAAAATCTTCTTACTCTCACTTTTATATTTACAATGGGACCACCAAGAGTAGAAGACTTACCTTCATGGTTACTTTGAGACATTTCAGATTTGTATTTCTCTACACTTTTAGAAAGTAGTTCGCAGTTGCTAGATACAAAAAAATAAAGAAAGAAATAAAATTATGATTTTAATACCTATAAGGAAAACATTCACAGAACATGTTAAACTCTTGGAGTAATTCACACAATATCAGAGATACTATCGGAATTTTAATTATCCAACACACTGCAAAGCTAGACAAACTTTTTATTAAGTTTATAATTAAGGAAGAAAGAAAGGTAAGTCATGACTTCAGGAAGTGTCGCTCAGTAAATTAACCCGAGTTAATATGATATAATAAAAACGGTTTTACATGTAAAGAAGTCCTAGATATATAACAAACAGCTACATGTTTTTGGACAAGTCTCTACTCTGAGACTCAAGTTCTACTGAAACTAAGGATTTTAACTGCTTTTTTCACTAGGCTGTTAATGAAGATTTAATAAGGTCTTTTTTTATAAGCTCAGAGAAATGGCAAAGATACAGATTATTTTGTTCTTAAACTTTATTACTAAAACTTCTTTGGAATCCAAGCAATAACTTATCACTGTGTGCTTTTTCATAGGTTCTAATATTCAATTGTTGTAGTTTTCAAAGTATGTTATTAAGTCCTAATTTTGATTATTATAGTGTTTCCTTGTGGGCTGTAATTCAGGGCATCTCAGCTATTTAGGTTTGTATCTAAACTTATTTTTAAGTAGATCATGAAATTATATCATTGTCCCATTACTGAGCTAATCAAGGACAGAAAACAAAGAGCTATCTACACCTGGCTTGTGTTCCTATTATTTCTTCTTTACCTACTCAAACTCTGAGCCTGTAGATCGTTCTTAGAGTGACATTTAATTTCCATGTTCATCTCCAACTGACGTGGATGACAAAACCTTATGATATACATGGATACTGATGAGTCAAAGATGGGACTTGGTTCTGTTCAATCCAACTAACCTAAGTTAGATTCAGAGAACTCTGTTGAATGGCTTCCTTGTGAGGCAGAATTGGAAAATATTTTCAAAGTCTGAGCTAGAAATGCACATAGTTTGGGAAATTTTTATTATAAAAGGGCACGTGGTCCAATCACAGGTTGGCATCCACTACTCTGGGAAAGGATGATTTGAGACTTTCACAATCCGAGGACAGGTATTCCACAGGATGTAAAGGGCCTCTTAGGAGTACAAGTCTGGTGCCAAAGAAAGGGAGCTCTGAGCCAGCAGGTGGCATGGTGGTTGAGCTGCTGGATCCCACATCCTCAATGCTCATTTCGAGTCCCAGACCTGATAGCTTGAGAAAAATGCTGAGCACCTGTGCATGCATGTCCACAATCCTGACAGGATGAAGGGATGGAAAAGGAATTACGATGTGACCATTGCCCATGGCGGGGAGGGGGGTGCTTTCTCTTCTCCTTCTCTCTTTCTGTCTATCTCTGGTGAGCACACACACCCTCTAGAAAGCAAAGGAAGAAAAGAAAACTCTAATTGCTTCCTGTAACATTACTGAAACCTGACAGTTCAGAATAATCCCAACTAATGTTTGCAACTGAAAAGACAAGGGCTTCAAAGGATAGGTCGCCATGAAAGCCTAGGCTAAGATGTGGACTTCATGTAAGGTTCTGAATATGGGGTGAAGGGTCAGTTTGCTGCTTTTGGCTAACATTAAAAGTTCAGGTTAGGGACCAGCAGGTGGCATGGTGGTTAAGGTGCTGGACTCACATGGCTGACTGCGGTTCGAGTCTAGGACCTAGCAGCTTGCTTTCTCAATTTCCCTCTCTCTGTCTCTCTGTGGTGAATTGAAATAATAATAATACAGTGAATAAAACGAAATAAATATTTTTAAAGAATTTTTTATTTATCTATTTCCATTTGTTATTGTTATTTTTTTCTTTATTTGTCGAGAGAGAGAGACAGAGAGAGAAAGGGAAAGGGAGAAATCAAGTCACCAGGTCCAGGACTTGAACCATGATTGGCCATGTGTGATCCCGCCCTCTCTACAAGATGCCTAACCACTGCTCTATAGGGCAGGACTTCGATAATTATTTGTTAAATACAGAAAAGAGTGTCAGAGCAGCATTCTGAAGCCCTGGGAATAATGGCTGACCATATAAGCATACAAGGAAACTTCAAAGAGGTCGTGGGAAAATGGAATTCAAGTACAAGTTTAATTGCGATGGAAAAATAATTTTGAAGTTCATGCATAAGTTTTCATGACACATATTTTCTATGAACTTTTTAAAGACCTCCTATATATATAGGGACTTAAAAAGAAGTAATGGGGCCAGCAGGTGGCATGGTGGTTTACGTGCTGAAACCCACAAGACCCACTCTGCAGTTCAAGTTCCAAACCTGGCAGGATGAAAATCACACCAGCACGTGTGTAGACATGGCCAAAAAGGGAGGACAGAATGGAGAAGAGACTGCAGCATGGCCATCCTCCTGGGCAGGGAGGTTGTTTCTCACTTTCCCTCTCTCTGTCTCTCTCCTGCAAGCTCATGGTCCCTGTGGCAGAAATCTGAAAAGTAGTGACTTTGAAATCTAAGGGTAGATCAGTTGCTACCAAACTTTGGTTTCAATAGCAACACTGCAGCAACAGAATCAATGGAAACAATACAATGATTAGAAAGATTTTTCGCCCAGCGACTTACTTGTATATAAAGACTGTTGTCTGTAGTGGACTTAGGAATCTTGGAAAAGTCAAGAAGGAACATATGAGAGATAGTCCTCAGAGAAAAGTGGAAGATTTTCTGATAAATAGGGCATTTCAAAAACCAAATAATGAGAAAAACCAAAGATGTGTCACTAATCTGTACCCCACGGGGCATTTCAAAACCCAAATAATAAGAAAAAGCATTCATCTCCACCCCATCAATTGAGGTTATACCTGGAGTATGATGGACAATGTTAGGATCCCTGAGGATAAAGGTCTTAAATGTCCTGACAGACAGAACCCTGCACACATTGCTACTCCTAACTAGTGTTTTTCTTGGTGACAGGCTGATGAACTGGATTGACACTGCCATTCAAAACCATCTGAACCAAACTGTGAAATCCCACCTGATCCGTAAGATGCAATAGTTACAATTCATTTAAACCTCAGTTTGGTGTTAATTAGCATGTTAATGTAAACACTTACGTATTAAATCCACTAAACTGTGCGTATGTTTCTGCAGTATATCCCGAGTCATCTTTAAGACAGGGATTAACACCAAGATTAAGAAAACGCTCGACCAGATATGTTGATCGATGTTTTGCAGCAAACATGAGAGCTGTCCTAAAATAATAAAGAGATAAGTAATTTTACCTTAGGAACTTTAATAAAGCTATTTTAAACACTAATTTGACATACTTTACCAGTGGAATATTTTGCTTGTCTATATAGACATATACACATACCTAAAGAAATGAGCATTCTGGGGACCAGCAGAGGGTGTAATGGTCACATCACTGGAGTCTTACATGGCTGACTACAGTTCGAGTCCTAGACCCAGCAGTTTGAAACTCATGTCAGGCATTTGTGCATGTATGCCCTAGATCCCAAAAGGAGAATGGAGGAGGAGAGATTGAGGCATGGCCATCTCCCCAGGGGGTGAATTCTCACTTTCTGTCTCTGTTTCTCCAACGAGTGCACATGCCTTATAGTAAAAATCTCTTTAACAAATAAGCATTTTGAGCACTGCACTGTTAAACTTTGTAAATCATTTCCAAGGTTAAAAGGAAAGCAGAAAAGGAAACCTCTTGCCCCACTGTGGTATTATATAGTAAAAGTTAAATTTAAAGTTAATTTAAGGTCCCTTTGATGGACAACAGACGACACTGGATTCATTTATCTGAAGTAGGTAGCGATTTAAATAAATAATTGTTCATGTCTTCCCTAGTCTTATAAAATGCATTATAATTCAAAGTCAGTTAGAGGTCAGATAAGTAAAAAGCTATTTGCAGACAAAACAATCATATTAATAAAATGATAATAGTCATATTTGTTTCAGTTAATGAAGATTTTAAGCATGTGCTAAGCACGATTAAATACTACATACGTAATCTTATTTATATACTTTTGAAGATACATTATAGGTTTAGTATCCTTTCTATGAAATGACTGAGACCAGAAGTGTTTTGGATATTACATATATAAAGATTTCAAACATATTACATAATGTATAACTTATTAACATGAGCTATTTGGAGATAAAGAACAAGTCTAAAATACAAATTTTTTTAGTTTTAAATACCCATAAACACACAGCCTGAAGTTAATTTACATATTACTTTCATACTTCAGTATTTTGACTGCAACTCGAGGTCAAGCGAGGAATTTTTCATTCACATCATGACACACTCAAAAAGTGTCAGATTTTGGAGCATTTTAGATTTCAGATTTTCAGATCGGAGATACTCAACTTGGGTTATTCTCCTTTTGCTATCAGGGAACCTATCTGGTAATAAGGAATCTTCCAAGGCTCATGTGCCTAGCACGTAGGAAACCTGAGAACTAAACCCAGTCTTGTATGAAAGTAAAGGCTACTTCTTTTCCCTTTATTGCCTACCTATGGCTTGCCTTCACTAAAGGAAAAGTTTGTTAGACCAAAAGCAAAACTTCAGGTCAGAGGTGGTGTCACATGGCTGAAGCAGGGACTCTGGGCTCCCACCCTAAGCTCTTCTAATACATGTTGGGTGTGAGCTCATGACTGTAGCTGAAGCTGGTGGGGAGCTGCAGCAGGAAGACCCTGTTGGGGTTGCCTGCCTGTCTGTTTCTCTCTTTGTCAGAAGAAATATAAAACCTTTATAAAAATAATAAATAGAGACAGCAGGTGGTGTGGTGGTTAAAGGAATTGTGGTGTGGCCATCCCCCCTGGGAGGGTGATTTCTCACTTCCTCTCTGTATGTCTCTCTTTGGTGAGCACATGCACCCTAAGCCAAAAATTTAAGAAAACATTAGAAAAGTGAAAAATCACCCTGGGAGGGATTGGCCACACAATTTCTTTTCCCCCATTGTCTCAGGATTTGGGGGACACATGCACATAAACCTGGCATGATTTTCAAGCTGCCAGGTATGGAACTTAAACCAGAGTTGGCCAATGGAATCCAGTGCCTTTGCCATTAATCCATTCTATGAGGATTTGCAGAGTGCACAGGCACATACCTAGTATGTTTTTCAAGCTAGTAGGCCCATCCAAACCATGTTGGCCATGTGGGATCTGGTTCCCAATGCAAAGTGCTTAACCACTGCCCTGTGGCACTGGGTCTTTGGTGGACTCTTTAGGTTTATTTATGTGTATAATTATGACACCTGCAAACAGAGACAACTTAACTTCTTCCTTTCCAGTTTGGATGCCTTTTATTTCATTCCAGTACTATGTTGAACAGGAGTGGAGAATGTAGGCATCCTTGCCTTGCTCCAGTTTCAAGAGCAAAGCTTCAAACATTTCTCCTTTGAGTATGAAGGTAACTGTGGGCTTGTCATAACTGATCTGTAGTGTGTCAAGAAATGTACCTCTTGGGCTTTGGGTCTAGAAAGCAGCATTGATGCTGGCTACTGCAATGAGTACAAGGAGGTACTGGATGCTTGGCAGTGCAGAGGAGGGGCTGAGCTGGTGGCCTCTTTGCAGATGTATTGCTGTCCTTGAACTTAGCCCATTTGACAACACCAAGGAGCTCAGTCCATTGGTATGGCCAAGTACAAACTTGTTATGCTAAGACATGGAGAAGGTGCTTAGAATAAAGAGAACCACTTTCATAGCTGGGTGGCTCAGAAACTTAACAGTGAAGAAATGGAGGAAGCTTGGAACTGTGGGAAGCAATTCAAAGCACTAAACTTGGAGTTTGAGCTTGTCTTCATATCTGTCTTTAACGGGTCCATCCACACAGCCTAGCTGTGCCTGGAAAAGCTGACGCAGAGATGGGTCCCCATGGGAAGACCCTGGTGGCTAAATGAGCATCACTCTGGGGCCTTGTTGGTCTCGACTAGGAGAAAATGGCTTTGAATCATGGTGAAGAACAAATGAAGCCTTAGAGAAGTTACCCTGTCTCTTATTGATGAGTCTCGTCCTTACTACCAGGAGATCTATAACAACTGAAGGTATAAAGCGTGCAATAGACGTTGGGATCAACTACCACCGACTGAAAGTTTATAGGATGTTCTAGAGAGACTCCTTCCCTATTGAAATGAAAGGATTGCTCCTGACAAGTGAAGAGGCAGAACTATTCTGATACCTGCTCATAGAAATAGGAGTAGCGTAGTCCTGAGACATCCAAAAGGTATCTCAGATGAAGACATTATCAACGTTACCCTTCCTACTAGAGTCCCCATTCTCCTGGGACTGATGAAAAGTTGCATGCTACTGGGCCTCACCAGTTCCTGGGTGGGCCTTCACTAAAGGAAAAGTTTGTTAGACCAAAAGCAAAACTTCAGGTCAGAGGTGGTGTCACATGGCTGAAGCAGGGACTCTGGGCTCCCACCCTAAGCTCTTCTAATACATGTTGGGTGTGAGCTCATGACTGTAGCTGAAGCTGGTGGGGAGCTGCAGCAGGAAGACCCTGTTGGGGTTGCCTGCCTGTCTGTTTCTCTCTTTCTCAGAAGAAGAGATATAACAAATAGGGCCAGCAGGTGGTGTAGTGATTAAAGTACTGGATCTCACATAGCCAACTCCACAGTTTGAGTCCTAGACATGGTGTCTTGGAAAATACTCCAGGGTACATGTGCATGCATTCCCCAAATCCTTAGAGAAGAAGGGAAGAGAAGGATTTGGTTAAAAGAATAGCAGGGGTTAACCTGGGTGAGAAACCTCTCTGTATGTCTCTCTTTGGTGAGCACATGCACCCTAAGCCAAAAATTTAAGAAAACATTAGAAAAGTGAAAAATCACCCTGGGAGGGATTGGCCACACAATTTCTTTTCCCCCATTGTCTCAGGATTTGGGGGACACATGCACATAAACCTGGCATGATTTTCAAGCTGCCAGGTATGGAACTTAAACCAGAGTTGGCCAATGGAATCCAGTGCCTTTGCCATTAATCCATTCTATGAGGATTTGCAGAGTGCACAGGCACATACCTAGTATGTTTTTCAAGCTAGTAGGCCCATCCAAACCATGTTGGCCATGTGGGATCTGGTTCCCAATGCAAAGTGCTTAACCACTGCCCTGTGGCACTGGGTCTTTGGTGGACTCTTTAGGTTTATTTATGTGTATAATTATGACACCTGCAAACAGAGACAACTTAACTTCTTCCTTTCCAGTTTGGATGCCTTTTATTTCATTCCAGTACTATGTTGAACAGGAGTGGAGAATGTAGGCATCCTTGCCTTGCTCCAGTTTCAAGAGCAAAGCTTCAAACATTTCTCCTTTGAGTATGAAGGTAACTGTGGGCTTGTCATAACTGATCTGTAGTGTGTCAAGAAATGTACCTCTTGGGCTTTGGGTCTAGAAAGCAGCATTGATGCTGGCTACTGCAATGAGTACAAGGAGGTACTGGATGCTTGGCAGTGCAGAGGAGGGGCTGAGCTGGTGGCCTCTTTGCAGATGTATTGCTGTCCTTGAACTTAGCCCATTTGACAACACCAAGGAGCTCAGTCCATTGGTATGGCCAAGTACAAACTTGTTATGCTAAGACATGGAGAAGGTGCTTAGAATAAAGAGAACCACTTTCATAGCTGGGTGGCTCAGAAACTTAACAGTGAAGAAATGGAGGAAGCTTGGAACTGTGGGAAGCAATTCAAAGCACTAAACTTGGAGTTTGAGCTTGTCTTCATATCTGTCTTTAACGGGTCCATCCACACAGCCTAGCTGTGCCTGGAAAAGCTGACGCAGAGATGGGTCCCCATGGGAAGACCCTGGTGGCTAAATGAGCATCACTCTGGGGCCTTGTTGGTCTCGACTAGGAGAAAATGGCTTTGAATCATGGTGAAGAACAAATGAAGCCTTAGAGAAGTTACCCTGTCTCTTATTGATGAGTCTCGTCCTTACTACCAGGAGATCTATAACAACTGAAGGTATAAAGCGTGCAATAGACGTTGGGATCAACTACCACCGACTGAAAGTTTATAGGATGTTCTAGAGAGACTCCTTCCCTATTGAAATGAAAGGATTGCTCCTGACAAGTGAAGAGGCAGAACTATTCTGATACCTGCTCATAGAAATAGGAGTAGCGTAGTCCTGAGACATCCAAAAGGTATCTCAGATGAAGACATTATCAACGTTACCCTTCCTACTAGAGTCCCCATTCTCCTGGGACTGATGAAAAGTTGCATGCTACTGGGCCTCACCAGTTCCTGGGTGGCCTAGAGGTTATCTAAGAAATCATTACGAAGTAAAGGATTGGGCCAGCAGGTGGCATGGTGGCTAGGGCACTGGTAGTTAGGGCGCTGGACTCCCACATGACCAACTGCAGTTTGAGCAAATGACCTGGTGGCTTGTAAATCAGGTGTGTGTGTGTGTGTGTGTGTGTGTTTTCTCAAAATCCTGAGAAAAGACTGGAGAAGAGATTGTGGTGTGGCCACCCCCCAGGGGATGATTTCTCACTTTCCCTCTCTCTGTTGATCACACACGTGCCCTATGCTACAAAAAATTTTAAAAGGAAAGAAAAAAGGGAGGGAAAGGAGAGAATCAAGACAGTGAAAAAAGCTGGAAAATAAAGTCTTCCCAGCTGCTGGCTAGGAATAGGAATAGCTGTACAAGGAGTGTCATGCAGTGAGCGATGGGTGCTGATCTCTCTCTAATCTTCTCTTACTCTCTAGGGTTTTCCAGAGCTAGGTTGTGGGACAGTTTGTACAGGTAACTAGGCAAGTTCATTCCGGCCCACAGAAGGCTTTAGGATGACTGAGTGCTTTTGCAAATAAGCCTTATGAGGTAGCTTTCTTGCTGGCCCTGTTTACATTATTGCAGTTGACCAACTAGTAGCCATGAGTTCAAATCAGGTCCTGTATTTCTGAAATGGGAGAGTAACAGCAGAGGTGAAATTTAAGATAATCATCATTCAATAAATCATTACTGAGTAACCACTGGAAAGCAATATTCCAATAAATATTACAGTTCATATTTACATTTCATGAGATTTTCTGGAATGACACTAAGGGATAAACAATACACCATTCATCAGGATTTGTTATTAATCTTTTCCTCTAGGAAGAGGGATGCTTTTTTTTTTTGAGAGAGATTTTCACTGTAGGGTGCGTGTGCTCGCCAGACAGACAGACAGAGACATAGAGACAGAAAGCGAGAAATCACCCCCCAGGGGGGATGGTCACGCCGCAATCCCTTCTCCTCCATTCTCCTCTCGGGATCTTGGGCATGCACGCACACGCGCCCGGTGTGAGTTTTAAGCCACCGGGTCCGGGACGCGAACCGCGGTCGACTACGTGGGAGTCCAGCGACATAGCCATTACGCTAACTGCTGGTTCCCGAGGGATGCTTTGATAAGAAGACCAGAGACCCATTAAACAGATGGTTAACAGGTGGTTCCTCTAAGAAAACCCACAACTACCATCATAGTGATAGCAACCACAAGGACTTTTGTCTCTCATTGAGAAACATTCTTTGTTTGATGTAAGTAGAATTCATCTTTTTTTCTTTTAATTTTTTGAGAGGTTTTTGCTATAGGGTGTATGCAATCACCAAGGAGACAGAGAGAGACATAGAGACAGAAAGTGAGAAATCATCCCCCAGGGGGGATGGCCACGCCGCAATCCCTTCTCCTCCATTCTCCTCTCGGGATCTTGAACACACACGAACATGCACCCGGCATGAGTTTAAGCTACCAGGTCCAGGACTTGAACCACAGTCGACTACATGGGAGTCCAGTGACATAGCCATTACACTAACTGCTGATCCCAGTAGAATTCATCTTTGATCACTAGAATGACCAGCATACGAACAACTATGGCTGTTTATGTGCTTTTTTGCATTTAATTCCGATATTTATAGTTAACATTCTGAAATTCTTCTCTAACATTTCTGTGACTACCTGAAGTTTGCCTATTCTTAGTGAGGAGGTGGTGTGGTCCTTTGGGGGGAGATATTTTCTTTTTTAAAAAAATTCTTCCTCTGTCCCTGAGTTATTATTTTGGCATCTACTGGAATACTCATTTCTTGTATTTAATAGCTTGGGTTTTTATAGTGGTAGTATGTTTTTTAAGGAATAGGACACATGCGCTCACTGAAGAGAGACAGAAAGAGATGGGAAGTTAAAATCACCCTCCCAAGAGGAATGGCCATGCTGCAACCTTTTCTTTATTCTACTCTCAAGATTCTGGGCATGCATGCACACACACTTGGCTGGCTTCTGGAGCCACCAGACAAAGGACTTTAAATGTGCAGTCAGCCATTGTGGGATCTAGCCACCTTGAACTCCACAACACCTGCTGGCCTGGTGATATTTTCTTTCATTTGGTCATTTACTTATTTTTTCCTATGGTTGTGTTTTTTGAATTGGTTAGTTGTGCTTTGTATAGAAGACTTAGTATATCATCAGAGACACCAGTAGGGATGATGGGGGCCCCTGAGCCTGTGTTTACACGCTCTAGGTGAGGTTACTGTTGTGTACTGTATCCAATCTCTAAAGGGAGTGGGTGCATTTGACAGACAGAAACTGCAGCCCTGTGGAGTGGTGGCCTGAATTCTAACACCCTATGTAGGTCATAAAATCCTCCTGTGGGGAGGTAACCAAGTAAAGATATCAGCTGAAAGTAAGCATTAATAACCTCTGTCTTGGATAGCTCACACACAGGTGGGATGTAGCTGATAGTTGAGGAGTCATGGCTCAGAGGGAGGCTAGTTGTTTAGCTCAGCATTTGTGTACACTCCCTGAAGATAGAGGAAACTGCTCCATTGCTCGATTCTCTCCACATATCCAGCACACTCCGTGGGCAATCCATTGCAGGTGGGCAGGGCAGGAATCGTTATTAGTGAGGCTAGTGGTTGCATGCACCCTCCTGCACAGCTGGGTTGTAGGGCAAGAATGGCATGCCAGCCCACAAGGCTGGAGGAGAGGCTAGAAGATGGATGAGGTGATGACTACTAGGTCTGCCCTGCTTGCCCAAGAGAGAGCTTGTCCCATCTCAGTACTCTCTCGCAGTTGGGGAGCCCCAGGGTTTGAAGAGGAAGCAGGGAGCTCCAAGCTTCAGAGGGGAGTTCCACTCACCTCTCACCAGTTCCTTCCCAAGTTCAAACAGTTGACCTCCTATGTCTCCTGCTCAACATCTGTCACCCTAAAAGTTGCCCACTGTCCCATTCCTGCATTCTGTCAGTCTCACTTCATTCTTCTACTTGAGATGGACTCATCTAATCAATTTTTGGGGGGCTCTCCTCCTCAAGTAATGCTAAGATGGGTGTCCCTAGTCAGCTATTTTCTAATCCCCTCTCACATACAAACTCAAATATAGTATATTGTTTTGATTGTCCCATTCTATTAGTAATGTTTTAATTCTCTTATTGTGCCCAATTTATAAATGAAACTTTACTGTAGGCAGATATGCACAGGACAAAGGATAGTTTATATAGGGTTCAGTACTATCCACAGTTTAAGCCATCCACTGGGAGAGTTAGAACATATCCTCCATGTTGGGGGCCAGCAGGTAGCATGGTGGTTAAGGTGCTAGATTCCCACATGCCAACTGCAGTTCAAGTCCCATTCCTGGTGGCTTGAAAAATCACTCTGGGCCCTTGTGTATGCATGCACAAAATCCCAAGGGGAGAATGGAGAAATGATAGTGACATGACCAACCCCATGCCCAAAATCCCAAGAGGAGAATGGAGAAATGATAGTGACATGACCAACCCCATGCCCAAAATCCCAAGAGGAGAATGGAGAAATGATAGTGACATGACCAACCCCATGCCCAAAATCCCAAGAGGAGAATGGAGAAATGATAGTGACATGACCAACCCCATGCCCAAAATCCCAAGAGGAGAATGGAGAAATGATAGTGACATGACCAACCCCATGCCCAAAATCCCAAGGGGAGAATGGAGAAATGATAGTGACATGACCATCCCCATCCCTCCTTGGGGGGTAACTTCTCACTTTCAGTCTCTCTCGCTCTCTCTTGTTTCACTCTAGCAAACACACATGCCATACAACAAAAATCTTAAGAAAAAAGGCACACCGTACCTTTGCATTGCATCAACAGCATACACATTTGCTTTTTTCTTTATTAAAAAGTCCACCATTTCCGGCTTGTCTGCACTTATGGCATTTAGAAGTGGTGTCATTTTTGCCTGTAAAACAGTAAAAAGAAGTTACAATCCACAAAGTTATGTATTTCTCGAGCGAATTGAAAAACCTATCTCTAACAGATGCTATCAGGGCCACAGGTGGTGTGGAGATTAAGGTGCTCGATCTCACAAGGTCAACTATGCAATTTGAGTCTTGGCCCAGCGGCTTGAAAATCACAAGGTACATGTGCATGAACATCAAAAATCCCAAGAGGAGACTGGAAGAGGGACTGAGCCATGGCCATCATGGCCCCTGGGGGTCATTTCTCACTTTCTCTGCCTCCCTCTGACAAAGTGCACATGCCCTATAGCAAAAACTAATAAAAGAAACAAAATGACCCTATGAACTTAAACATATATTAATAATAGAAAAAGTAAATAAAAAGTGGCCCCTTAGGACCAGCAGTTAGCGTAATGGCTATGTCGCTAGACTCCCATGTAGTCGACCGCAGTTCGAGTCCTGGGGTGGCTTAAACTCACGCTGGGCGCGTGTGTGTGCGTGCCCAAGATCCCGAGAGGAGAATGGAGGAGAAGGGATTGTGGCGTGGCCATCCCCCCTGGGGGGTGATTTCTCGCTTTCTGTCTCTGGCCCCTTAGGACCAGCAGTTAGCGTAATGGCTATGTCGCTAGACTCCCATGTAGTCGACCGCAGTTCGAGTCCTGGGGTGGCTTAAACTCACGCTGGGCGCGTGTGTGTGCGTGCCCAAGATCCCGAGAGGAGAATGGAGGAGAAGGGATTGTGGCGTGGCCATCCCCCCTGGGGGGTGATTTCTCGCTTTCTGTCTCTGTGTCTCTCTCTGGCTGGCTGGCGAGCGCACGTGCCCTATAGCAAAAACCTCTCAAAAAAAAAAAAAAAGTAGCCCCTTTCACTCTGTTTTGACATGTGCTTCTTCTCTTTGAAACACCACTCCTCTGTCTCACCACATGAACTCCAGTCATGGCCAGAACTCACTCCACGCATTCACCAGTTCCAAGAATCTTTGCTTCTATGACAGCATTTACCATGGTACGTTGCAGTCACTGCATTGCTCCCTATCTAAGCCAAGAAGAGCTTCTTTAGGGCAGGATCTATTAGATTTGCTATTGAAGGGGCTATTGCTGCCAGAATAGGAGACTACGAGTTAGTTGTTCTTCCTTCATTTCCCACGTAATCAGCACCTATTGAATGCCAATCTGGCTTCCTCAAGTTCTCTAAAACTGATCTCCAGACAGGTTTACAATTCATTCACTGTTTCCCATACTGAGAATTATTCTTCCCCAAATTAAAGACCTCCTTCGTCTAAATATTTAAAGTGGAAAACACACACACATCCACACATACACAATAAAAACAAAATCTTCATGATATTTCCCCTCTACCGTCTAATTTCAAAAATGGCCTGGATATTTCTGATTTCTCATTTCCCTTTTGTCCCCATTTTTTCCTCTTCTGCCTTGCAGCTGAGAGTTAAATCACTTTTATGTAGTGATTATGTAGGAATCTGTCAATAGCATAAAGATTTCCATTAATTGTAAAACGTTTTTATTTTGAGTTTTAAGAGAAAGCCTATTTTCGGGAACCAGCAGTTAGCGTAATGGCTATGTCGCTGGACTCCCACGTAGTCGACCGCGGTTCGCGTCTCAGACCCGGTGGCTTAAATCTCACGCCGGGCGCGTGTGCGTGCGTGCCCAAGAGCCCAAGAGGAGAATGGAGGAGAAGGGATTGCGGCGTGACCATCCCCTCTGATTTCTCGCTTTCTGTCTCTATGTCTCTCTCTGTCTGTCGGGCGAGCGCCCGCGCCCTATAGCGAAAAACCTCTCCAAAAAAAAAAAAAAAGAGAAAGCGTATTTTCAAGGCAAAAGTTGGTTTCCTATCTTGCCTTACATTAATAATATAAAAACAGGGTAGAAAAAGATATTTGAATCAAAAATCTTTGCCTTTAATACAGTGTTCCACAAACATTTGCTACAAATGAAGTTTAAAAAGCTAAATCCTTGGGCCAGCAGGTGATGTGGTGGTTAAGGTGCTGGACCTCCCACATGACAGCCTACGGTTTGGGTCCTGGACCTGGTGGCTTGCTTTCTGACTTTCCCTCTCTAGTGAGTGCTCTATAGGAAAAAAAAAATTAATGATAAATTAAATCAATAATAATTAAAACTGAAAAAAAAAGCTCTACCCTGTAGTATTTTTTTTAAGTATCAATATGCAGGGTCAGAAGACAGTGTGGTTGCTCTAATTAAGGCTCTCGATTCCCATAGCCAACTGCATGGTTCAAGTCCTGGACCTGGTGGCTTACAAAACACGTTGGGCGCATGTGTGTTTGTGTGTGTGTGTGTGTGTTGTGTGTGTGTGTGTCTGAAATTTTAGAGGAAAATGGAAGAAAAGACACTGTGGTTTGGCTATTCCCCTAAGGGATGATTTCTCATTCTCGCTCTCTCCATTTCTCTTCCTCTCTCTCCAGTGAGCTCATAAGCCCTATGGCAAAAATTGCAGCAACAACAACAAAAAGCATCAATATTGAAAGTGAGATCTTATACAGGTATGTCACTTCAAAATCTTCTCACTCAGGGAATGCTTAGGTTTCCAATTGTGGATAACTGCCTCAACATACATCCACAGTTAAATAAGTATATTTTATATTTAGAAAATAAATGCTGATCAATACCTTGCTTCTGGCATCAATATTCACATAGAGCGAAAGCAGCTTCTGTGCAATTGATATCATGCCGTGATGAGCAGCGTAATGGAGAGCGGTGTTGCCACTGGAATCGTGAGCGATTGGATCAGCACCATATTCCAACAGGATATTTGCACATTTCTCATGTTGGCATTGCACAGCCTGTCAGTATCAGAGCGAGAGAGACTGTAAATCCCCGGAATTCAAAATAAGCATTCTCCAGGCTTCACCAGTTAGTTACACTGACATGAGATCAACTCGTTTTTCTTTTAAGAGTTTAAATCAAAGCCATCTCACACTGAAACAGTTCTCTGCTATATACCATTATCAACGGTGTCTTGAATTGACCATCACGAAGGTCAAGTTCGCATTGTCTCTCTGCTAGGAGAGTCACCATTTCTTCATGACCACTGGCACAGGCCAGGTGCAGAGCAGTCCTGGAAAGTAAGAACACTTCTTAGGAGATTGTGGTAGATTACTTCAAACATATTATTACGCGTGAAATCGTGAGCATTAAATAGCATGCTATCCGTACCAGCAGTTAGCATAATGGCTATGTCGCTGGACACCCATGTAGACGACCATTGTTCTAGTCCTGGATCCGGTGGCTTAAACTCATGCCGGGCGCGTGTGCATACATGCCCAAGATCCCAAGAGGAGAATGGAAGACAAGGGGTTGAGGCGTGGCCATCCCCCTATCCCACCAGAGGGGGTGATTTCTCACTTTCTATCTCTCTGTCTCTGTCTTTCTGACGAGTGCATTTGCCCTATAGCAAAAATCTCTCAAAAATAAATAAATAAATAAATAAATAGCATGCTATCCCTGTGCCTTCAAAACACTTAATTTCATCTGAAGAACAGTATTACTAGCTTTCATTAAAACGTTAATGAAATTTCAGCCTATCTGAATAGAAAAGACGTGCTCTTTGGATTCAGCTCAACCTGGGTTTGAGTTTCATCTAGATGTCCGGCTATCCATTCATGCTTTCATTCTTTCTATGAGTGTGAAAGACAGAGAGAAAGAGAGGAAAAGAATTTCCTTGGGGAAAGCAAGTGGAATTGTGATTAAGGCACTGAACTACCACCTGGATGACTGTGGTTCAAATTCCACATATGGCAGCTTAAAACTCATGCCAGGCACATGTGTGTCTATATTTTGCAAATAAGTTGTCCTTTATTTTTATTACTTGTTTTCTGATACACAGGAGGTTTTCATTATGCTATACTTCTGTGCCTCAATTATCTCAAAAATGAAAGATATAAATATAGTAGTTCTATCACAGGACAGCGTTAGGATGCTTAGATGACAATGTATGCATTTGCAATTTTTATTTTGTGAAAATTAACCTTCAGAGTGCTTGCTTTGAGGTCATTCTTTAAAATCTACCTGTCAACATGAAAATGTATAAATTGGCATTTTTGGTTTTGTCTCATACTTTTCTTATTATCACATAGTTAAAATCTTAAATACATAGTCCACCAATAGCTTAATTTTGAAACTTAAAACACTAGCCAGTTTCCTCCAAACAGTTAACAGGCATTTCACTTACGAATAATTCACGTTTTTTAACTGCCATGAAATGTCACAAGTATCAACTATTAAATTCCTACATATATTTCATTGTTTAGGGCTTTGCTATCATGTCCCCATTTATTTATCTGTCTTATCAGCTGTTATGGAATAATAATTTTGGGGAGTTAACAGCACATTTGAAAAAAAAGAATTATTTTATTTAACTTTATTTAGCTATTGGTTTTAATTAGGCCAGAGAGGGGCAGAGTAGGGGCAGGGGCTAAGTGACAAAGTCACTAGGGTCCAGGACTCGAACTGCAGTTGGCCACGTGGGAGTCCAGTGCCCTTAACCACCTCCCCACCTGCCAGCTCCAATAGCACATTTTGACATGTAGAAAGGCACGTATTTGCTTATTAAACTACAAAGCTTTTCTTAACATCATCACCATGGTGGCACCTCAAAAGTTAAAGATCATGACATTTTGCTTTGGCCCATCTAAAACTGGTAAACATTCAAAGAGTTCATATTTAGAGAATGATGAGTCTTCCCATTCAGGAACAAAGAATCATTTTCCCACTTCAAAACCTTTAAGGACACTCAGTAAGAAGTACACATGTACAGGGACATACAGTGGATATGGGATCTTATGTGAAGGATTTGGAGCCTAGAAGCTGACATCTTATAGTGATTATTTTTCTCATTCCCCATTTTTCCATACTGTTTGCAACATTGTCGTTTTTGAAATGCGTACATGACCAATACAATGGGGACCAGCCAGCCAGTGGCAGAGGGTAAGGCAGCCGGATCCCACATGGTCGGCTGGGCAGTTTGCGTCTCCCCCCTGTAGCTTGAAAAACAGTGTGTGTGTGCGTGTGTGTGTGTGTGTGTGAGTGTCTTGTGTGCCCAATATGCCCTAAATCTCAAGAGGCTGGAGGAGAGGAGATTGCAGGTGGCCATCTCTGCTGGGAGGTGATTTCTCCTCTAGGGCTGATTTCCCTCTTTCTCGCTCTTGTTTCTCTTACGGAGTGCACTCACCCTACAGAAAAAAAGCTACAACAGAAATTAAATAAAAACAAGACGCTCACGTATTTCAGTTAGTTAAGCCACTCTATAATTGCAAAGAAAGACTTCAAGAGGGGTCATTCTGAGTGATCCTGAAACCAGTGTAAGCCCGGTTTGGGTCTGCTGCCCATCAAGGGGACTGAGGTCCGGGCCCCAAGGCCCCCGTCCCAGGTGAAGCTGAGGGGCATCCCGGTGCCAGCCCAGACCTGTTACCTTTGCTTCTTGTCTGGCTGATTCACTACATTTTCCTTTCGGTTTAGGATCTCCTGCACTTGCTCCAAGTCACCTGCCAGGACAGCCTTGTGGATCTTGTGGAGATGCCCCTCTTTGACAATGTACTCGGACAGCGGGTGGACGCTCTGCCTAACGCTCTGCTTCGCTCCCGAGCCCCGGCCCTGTTTTCCCCCTAAGCCAAAAATCCTCCTCATGGTGCACCTCGCAGCTTCAGGGATGCCTCAGCAACCCTTCGGCTCTCCGCAGGCTCCAATGTCCGACCTGATCACTGTACTTAAGTAAATCAGGTATTGGCCACCAGGACCCAACACACAAGACCCGCGGTTGTCAGCCTCTCAGCAGAAGCCAACTGTCACCCCGCAGATCCTGCCTGCTTCTAAGGGCGCTGCCAGGCACCTGCTCATAAAGGGGGGCGGGGCTCTGTGCCCTAGAAGCGCCGTGATTGGCCGGGAGCTGTGACGCGTTCCTTCCCTGTCAGTGGCAGTTGCTTGAGTGTTCTGGACCTTAGGAAAGACTCATATGGGTGGAGCCATAGAGGGTGTACTGGTTATGTCGCTGGATCCCCACGGAGTCCAACATGGTTCCGGGTAGCTTAGAGCTCAGCTGGGCCACCTGTGCATGAGTGCCCCAAATAACCAGAGGAAGCAGAGGGGATTGCAGCGCGGTCATCCCTCCTGGGGGGTCATTTCTCGCTTCCTGTCTCTCTGTCTCGCTCTGTCTCTCTGCCTAGAAAATGTACACAAGTTCCCTATAGCAAAAATCACTCTCTCTAGAAAATGAAAGACTTCTGTAGGAAAGCAGTCTTTTTGACGTTTTAAATTTTAAAAATTTAATTTAATTTTTTAAATCCCATAGGGATCAGAGAGAAACAGAGAACTCGCCCCCAATAAAGCATGGCCATTTTGTAATTTCTTCAACATTTCACCATCCTATGGGAGTTTGGGGCACACAGGGACACATGGCCTGTCTCCCAAACCACCAGGGACAGGATTTGGTGCTGTCAGTTATGTGGGATCAGGCTCCTTAACCCTCAAAACCAATGAGCCCTAATAACTTACTAAAGTAGCTATTCACTTTATGACACAAAGCCATCTTTAGTCATTAGGTTAAAATGCCACCTTACTTTCAATTCTTAGGGGTATTTTTTTTTCCCCTTCTGAGTTTTCCATTCTGTTCATCTACTTTCTGAATGATTATTCCACTATTGTATCTTATTTATCTATAAAATGTTTAAAAAATACTAGTTACAGTTCTAAAGTTCCCTCTTTATTCTTCCATTATCAATATTAACTTGAAAATTACCTCAAATTGTGTGGAAGAGATTCCCCTTCCCCCTCAACAGAGGGTACATGCCCTCACTGGAAGGGGAGGGAAAGTGAGAAAGCAGCCCCCAATGGAGAGTGGTCATGTCCCAATGCCTTCTCTCTCTCTCCCTCATTTTGGGACTTTGGGCATGCACATATTCCAATGTGTTTTTCAAGACACCATGCCCAGGATTCAAACCACACAGTTGGTCATGTGAGTTCCTGCCATCTTAACCGCCACATCATAGGCTAATCTCAAGGCTGAATTTTTAATCCCTATGCAAAGCTAAGAAGAAATCATAGTAAAATTTTGATTGTGGGACTAGCAAATGGCATATTGGTTGCTTTGCTGGACTCCCATGTAGCTGACAGTGGTTTGAGTACCAGATCATTTGGCTTAAAACTCAAGCTGGGCATGGAGTCCAACTCCATTTGTAGCCCCTGACCAGTTAGGGAACTTGAGGCAGGGCTGAACCTCAGCCCCAGCCCCAGCTCCCAACCTCAGAGCGACCCCCCCCCTCTCAGCCAGAAATCTTGTGCTTAGCACAAGACTGAGTGACTGACCTGGAAAAAGACAAGTGTGTTTCCCAGGGTGCTGAAATACAGTGGTTCTCATTATTTCATTCTGAGAGCAGGAGCGTTTTCAATCAGCTAAGGAATCCTTTATATTCACCTGGCCCAAAAAAGTGGAAATCTGGAAGCAGAGGTTTGTTATGGGTGCACTTGAAACTCTTAAATTATTCATTGGTTAAAGAAAAACACAGTCTCTGTTAAAAGAAATCAGCGAGGGGGCTGGCAGGTGATGTGGTGGATGAGGCACTGGATTCTCACATGATTGACTACAGTTCAAGTCCTGTACCTGGTGTCTTGCTTTCTTATTTTCCCTAACTCTCCCTGGTCAAATTAGAAAATAATAACAACAATAAATAAATAAATTAAATAATTATTTTTAAAAATCAGCAGTTAATGTGGTGGCTAAGGTACTGGACACTCCCACGTGGCTGATCATGGTTCGAATCCCAGACCTGTGACTTATTTTCTCACTTTCTCTCTCTCTCTCTCTCTGCATCTCTCTGGTCAAATTAAAAAATAAATGAATGGATAAATAAAATTAAATAAATAATTCTTTTTTAAAAAAAGAAATCAGCAGAAGATTCTTTGTGCAAATTAAAAGATGGTAATAGTGATAAATGGAATAAAATAATTATTTTTTCACTGAAAAAGAAGGCTTAGTATGCATCATAAAAACACTATGCTTGAACAGGATGTAGCATCCCACTATGAATGGGACAAAGCAGTCTATTAATGTCTGTATGCCTTTATTAATGTTCATAATTGTGACTCTCCCAGGACCCCTGGAAACAACTTTGGAATAAGAAAAAGTAGTCAGATTCTGTCCTCATCTGCAAGATATTTGAATTTGTAAATCATCTCAAGAATTATGAAATGAAAAAAAATATAAAGCAAGAAAAAATTTATACCTAGTGGGAATCAGCAGTTAGCATAATGGCTATGTCGCTGGACTACCACGTAGTCGACCACGGTTCGCATCCCGGACCTAGTGGCTTAAAACTCACGCCAGGAGCGTGTGCGTGCGTGCCCAAGATCCTGAGAGGAGAATGGGGGAGAAGGGACTGTGGCGTGGCCATCCCCCCTGGGGGGTGATTTCTCGCTTCCTGTCTCTATGTCTCTCTCTGTCTGTCTGGTGAGTGCACACACCCTATAGCGAAAAAACAAAACAAAACAAAACAAAACAAAACAAAACAAAACAAAACAAAAGAATTTATACCTAGTAAAATACAAGTAGAGGTATTTGTTCCTACTGAAGCAAAACCTTAGTTCTCTCCCACAGGCCCAGGTCCTGCCCAGGAGTTCTCAACTCTAAGCTCAAGTTTATAGCCCTACCTCCTTAGTCAATGGGGACTGAGTTTAGACATTAGGGTCTAAAGGGCCTTGTGAAATGGCAAGTATTTTGGTGAGCGCCCAACTATGGGTGGGCCTGCCCACATTGTTTACCAGTTTCAAAGAATACACTCAGACGTTCAGCAGAGAAAGATGTGAGTTTACTTATGATGGAGGCTCCACTGATGGCTGGCTGGAGAATGGTTCATGCCACTCAGGTTTTATATGCCAACAACCAAGCATGCATAAATCAAATTAAAGACATACATTGTTTAGGGGTTTCAATACTCGATCAGCTTATCAATTAATGGAATTAGCAGAGTATGTCCCTGTTTAATATCTAAGGTTTGGTGCCTCTATTCTTTTTTTTATTTTATTTTTTCAGAGAGGTTTTGCTATAGGGTGCATGCGCTCGTGAGACAGAAAGCGAGAAATCACCCCCCCAGAGGGGATGGCCACGCCGCAATCCCTTCTCCTCCATCCTCCTCTCAAGATCTTGGGCACGCACACACACGTGCCTGGCGTGAGTTTAAGCCACCGGGTCTGGGACTCGAACCGTGGTCGACTACGCGGGAGCCCAGTGACACAGCCATTATGCTAATTGCTGGTCCCCCTACGTTTGTACTCTTAAGTTTAAAACAAAAACTTTAAAATGATTGGTTGGTTAAAAATGGTTTTATGGAAAAATTAATCTGTAACAAAAGCTTGGCATTGAGTTCAAAGGCTCCACGGTTCTTTTTTTCTTTTTTTTTTATTATCATAATAATCTTCTTTATATTACATTGGATTACATATAACTTTACAGTGTATTACATTGCTTTTTTTTCTTTCCAGAGTACACTGTATATTGTCTCAATCAAGCACATCAACAAACATGTTATTGTCAGCAAAAGGCTCCATGGTTCTTTGTTTTTTTTTTTTTTTTTTGAGAGATTTTCACTGTAGGGCGCGTGCGCTCGCCAGACAGACAGAGAGAGACATAGAGACAGAAAGCGAGAAATCACCCCCCAGGGGGGATGGTCACGCCGCAATCCCTTCTCCTCCATTCTCCTCTCGGGATCTTGGGCACGCACACACACGCGCCCGGCGTGAGTTTTAAGCCACCGGGTCCGGGACACGAACCGCGGTTGACTACGTGGGAGTCCAGCGACATAGCCATTACGCTAACTGCTGGTTCCCAAGGCTCCACGGTTCTTGAGCAAAGCGTACGTCGGTTCTGAGGGACAGGACCGAGAACGAGGGACTCAGACATTTACAACAGCAGGCATTTTCTCTTCCTCCTCTTGACGGGAAGTGGGCAGAGAACTGCTCAAATAGCTTCATCAAACACTGTCTTGAGGCCTCGCTGTGTGAGCACTGAGCACTCCAGGTATTTTACAGCACCCTCTCCTTAGCCATGGCTGAACCCTGTGGGTAGGGGATGGGAGTCAGCTGCTTCTCCTTCAGTTTCTCAATCGTGTCCTTATCACCTGAAGATCAAGTTTAGTTCCCACTAGAATGATGGCGGCATTGGGACAACGGTGTGGTACTTCAGGATGCCACTTTGCACAGGCATTTTCAAATGATGCAGGTCTCACAAGGGAAAAGCAAAGTAAGAAGACATCTGTTTGTGGGTGGGATAGGGGGCGTAATCTGTCAAAATCTTCTTGTCCGGCTCTATCCCATAAGCCCAGATTCGCCAGTTTTCCATCCACCATAGCATTGGCAGAATAGTTCTCAAAGATAGAAGGCATCGGTTGTCTAGCTGATCAGTAGGCAAGTTTTACCTACTGCCCCATCTCCCACCACCACACACTTGATGACCTGCATTTGGGCTGCTCGCTGGGCCCTGACGGCTGCGGCCAGCACTGAAGCCAGAGGCCGCAGACTCGCGGCGCGGCGGATCAGCAGGTGTGGAGTTCTGGTGGCAGGTCTCGGGGTGCCGGAGCCGTTGTCCATGCTGCCCTGCCCTCCACAGACTGGAAGCCTAAGTCCGGCAGTGGCCACCA